AGTAAGTCATTTATTAAAATGACAAAAAAATATATACGTCACATGTTATAGGATCAGATCAAAAGGTAATCGCACAAATACATATTAATATACTGATCCCCTAAATTTACAGATAAAAAATATTTGCAAAATATATACGCCACCAAATGTTATTGACGAACAGAGGCTCATTGTGCCATTCAACATGGAGTTTGAACAATAAAACAAGAGGTCCAGGGGCCACAGCACTCACCTGAGCACATCGGACTTGAATTTACTCCCCCCCCCCCCCCCCCTCCAGGCGTTCATCATTTGAACAAACTAGAATCTACACTACCTGAGGATGATTCCATATAAATATCACTAATCATAGCTTTGAAGTACTTTAAAAAAAGATTTAAAAGGTTTCCCTATATATCCCTATGTAAAACTTGGGTCGGCCATTTTGGCCCCACCCTAGCCACGGGGGTCATGATTTGAACAAACTTGAATCTACACTACCTGAGGATGATTCCACATGAGTTTCATCTTTCCGGGCCCAGTGGATCTTCAGAAGGTTTTTAAAGATATTTCCTATATATTCCTATGTAAAACTTGAGTCGGCCATTTTGGCCCCACCCTTGTCCCGGGGGTCATGATTTGAACAAACTTGAATCTACACTACCTGAGGATGATTCCACACGAGTTTCATCTTTCCTGGCCCAGTGGTTCTGGAGAAGAAGATTTTTAAAGATTTTTCCTATATATTCCTTTGTTAAACTTGGGTCGGCCATTTTGGCCCCACCCTTGCCCGGGGGGTCATGATTTGAACAAACTTGAATCAACACTACCTGAGGATGATTCCACATGAGTTTCATCTTTCCTGGCCCAGTGGTTCTGGAGAAGAAGATTTCTTAAGAATTTTCCTATATATTCTTATGTAAAACTTGGGTCAGCGATTTTGGCCCCACCCTTGCCCCGGGGGTCATGATATGAACAAACTTGAATCTGCACTATGTGAGGATGATTCCACATAAGTTTCATCTTTCCTAGCCCTGTGGTTCTGGAGAAGAAGATTTTTTAAAGATTTTTCCTATACAGTATATTCCTATGTAAAACTTGGGTTGGTTATTTTGGCCCCACCCTTGCCCCGGGGGTCATGATTTGAACAAACTTGAATCTACACTACCTGAGGATGATTCCACACGAGTTTCATCTTTCCTGGCCCTGTGGTTCTGGAGAAGAAGATTTTTAAAGATTTTTCCAATATATTCCTATGTTAAACTTGGGTCTGCCATTATGGCCTCACTCTTGCTCCGGGGGTCATGATTTGAACAAAATTGAATCAACACTACCTAAGGATGATTCCACATAAATTTCATTTTTCCTGGCCCAGTGGTTCTGGAGAAGAAGATTTTTAAAGATTTTACCTATATATTCCTATGTTAAACTAGGGTCGGCCATTTTTGCCCCACCCTTGCCCCGGGGGGTCATGATTTGAACAAACGTGAATCTACACTACCTGAGGATGATTCCACACGAGTTTCATCTTTCCTAGCCCAGTGGTTCTGGAGAAGAAGATTTTTAAAGATTTTTCCTATATATTCCTATGTTAAACTTGGGTTGGCCATTTTGGCCCTACCCTTGCCCCGAGGGTCATGATGTTAACAAATTTGAATCTACACTACCTGAGGATGATTCCACGTGAGTTTCATCTTTCCTAGCCCAGTGGTTCTGGAGAAGAAGATTTTTAAAGATTTTTCCTATATATTCCTATGTAAAACTTGGGTCGGCCATTTTGGCCCCACCCTTGCCCCGGGGGTCATGATTTGAACAATTTGAATTAACACTACCTGAGGATGCTTCCACGTGAGTTTCATCCTTCCTGGCCCATCGGTTCTGGAGAAGAAGATTTTTTAAAAATGCCATTAATTTTTAACAAATTTATGATTATCTGCCCTTGGAAAAGAGCCTGGCCCTTCATTTCAACAAACTTGAATCCCCTTTACACAAGGATACTTTGTGTTAAGTTTGGTTGAAATCGGCCCAGTGGTTCTTGAGAAGAAGATGAAAATGTGAAAAGTTTATGACAACAACAACGACAACAACAACGACGACGACAGACGACGGACAAATTTTGATCAGAAAAGCTCACTTGAGCCTTCGGCTCAGGTGAGCTAAAAATAGAACATCTACTTACTTACATTTAGACAAAAGAAAATAAACAGTATTCAACATATAAATGAAATTATTTACATAATTGTTGTTTTATTTACATTATAGATAACAAGACATGTTTCTAAAACACTTATGCCCCCCTCCCCACAAATTGAATTTTTCTAAGTCCAAATGTGCATAACTATGTAAAAAATGATGCGATCATACCCAAAGCAAAACTTGACCTAGATACAATGTATACGTATTCATCTGACTAATTTGTGTACTAGATTCCATTTTAATATGTGCAACCTTTCCGAAGAAAATGAACGTAAACTGCAAAAAATTGGAATTTTTCTAAGACCAAGGGACATAACTCTGTCAAAAATGGTGCAACCATACCCAAAAAAGAACTTGACCTAAATATTCATCTCATATACCTGTATACTAAATTCCATGTCAACATGTACAACCTCTGCCAAAAAAATGAACGGAAACTGCAATAATTGGAATTTTTGCAAATCCAACTTGACCTAGATATTCAACTGATATACCTGTATACTAATTTCTTTTTCAATATGTGCAACCTCTCTGAAGAAAATGGACGGAAACCGCAATTAATTGGAATTTTTCCAAGTCCAAGGGGCATAACTCTGTCGATTATTGTGCGATCAAACCCAAAACAAAACTTGACATAAGTATTCATCTGACTAATCTGTATACTAAATTCAAAGTCAATGTGTTCAACCTCTCCAAACAAAATGGAAACTGCAATATGTAAGATTTTTCTAAGTCCAAGGGGCATAACTCTGTCAATTATGGAGCGATCGTAAAAAAAAACAGAACTTAATCTAGATATTCATCTGATATACTTGTATACCAAATTTCATTTCAGTATGTGCAACGGTTGTGAAGAAAATGAACGGAAAAAAATGGACCGACCGACAAACTGACAGACAGCAGCCAAGCAATATGCCTTCCTTTCTTTGAAAGGGAGTGGGGACATAACTATATAAAAACGACCATAATTGTATGTTATATACTTACATATAGACAAGTTTTCATTATGTATAATAATTGTTTGGTGGTAAATCGATACTTTAAATTCAAGGCCATGTATCTTGAATGCATAAATTACACAAAAATATAAACTTACCTAATAACAAGAACATGGTGAATGTAAACATGCCATCACTTGTTTTACTATAAAGGATTGCCCTGTTTACATGAAGAGTTAAATTCGTTCACGTTCACATGAAGAATGCAATGCGAATTACTTTAATTCTAATTATTGATTTACTGCACATTAAATTACTTTGAATTACAAAAGCTAATTCGAATTAAATTTATGGGCATGCGTAATGCGTAAAAGTCAAATGCCATATGTCGGTTTTCAGCTATACACTGTAAGCTCTTGTGCTATTTTTGATTGAAAAACTAAGAAAAATCCTGTTAATCACTAAAAGTGTACATGGACTTTACCATGTCTAATGGATCATCTTCAGCAAAAAGTGACGTGATTTACAAATGACGTCATAATAGCCTTACTAAGACTGTATGTAGAAATAAATTTTGAATTCGCATCAACTTACTTCGCATTAGCTGTCGCAATTTTATTAATGCTTTGAAGCGCATTAGTTCACTTTACATAAATTACTATGAATTAAACTCTCCGTGCGAGCAGGACATTAAATTTTGAGTTTATTTAATTTCATTTGACATAATTTACAGAAATTCCTTACGTGTTCCTTTCATAAAGATTTTTCAGAAACTTATTGCCCTGCTCACACGAAGAACTTAATACGAATTAGTACAATTGAATTTATTTACTGCGCATTATATTACTTCTCATTAGCTCCTTGTGAACGTTAAGCGAAGCTAATTCAAATTCAATTTTGTCAGAATGAAGTCACAGGGCACATGTTGGTGGTTAGAAATAGGTATCAGTGCTATATGTGGTACAAAAATCAAGCAAAAGCATGTTTATCACTAAATGTATATCTTAATCCTGCCTCTGATAAAAATTGTGAAATTTCACTGATTGAGAAGAATACTGCATGAAATGATGTTACGCTGTCCACCTACCTCATATTGCTAATGATCCCTCCACGTGACATACTACACAGATCATTGTTATTTTCATTTGAGTACACAAAGCACCTAATTACTGACGTCATATTAACATTAATCGATGTCAAAATGTAAACTATTTTTTGAGTAAAATGAACTTCATTAAGAAATCTTCAACAGGATAAATTCATCATGTAGACACTTGGAGGGGTCATACGGAAATATGTGGAGGTCTTTGAAAACATACATATTAGGTTTGGCGAACGCCTCGCCCAATATGTATTACCTCCCTAAGTGTCTACAAAACCAATAGTAGCCACTATGATCATGATATCAATTGGATGGCTCTGCATACATGATGTGATTTACAACTGACGTCATAGTAGCCTTAAAGAACAGTGGGTTTTTTGTAGAAATACAATTTCATTTGCGTTTGTTTACTTCACATTAGCTGTCGCGTGATCTCAATTTAATTGGCATTAATTTATTTCGTATTTATTTACTGCGAATTAAACTCTGCGTGTCAACAGGGCATAAATTGATTTCGAGTCATTTTTGTGCATTTCTACAACTTACTTCAGTTTTTCCAAGTGTCTTCAACATTTATTTTAGTTAGCCGTGATGCAATTTTTAAGTAAACGCATTTTGACCAGATAACCAAAGTTGAGTTATTATTTCATTTTGTAAAGCGCCACTCTTTCTCCTATTTATAATTACATATTCACAGATTATCCATTCTTGATTCTGATAACGATACATTTTTATCATTTTTCAATAGTTATTTCGTAGATAAAATACAACCATAAACACAGCCATATTTAAGTGTGAAAAATGTTATCTCGCAACACTTTCAATTGTGGTATACTGCTTAAAAGGTCATAAACCCTGGACATGCTGATCCCACTCTCAACAAGGCATTCTTTAGGGCAAGTCCTCAATATTTTTTTCATAGATGTATCATGCACGAAACCCGGGATTCCCTCTTGGAGCATTAGATACACTTTTGGCGAGGTTATGTCTAAATCAATGATCCCAGGGCCACCCGAAGCACCATGAGTTGTGGATTCTGAGCAGTGGAACAGTACTTTTCCCCTCCTGAACATAGAATCATAATCATTTTTAACTTTTTTATGGTCAAAATTAGGATAGTTCCTCTTCCACCATGAGAGTGCTTTACAGTGAGTTTGAAAGGCATCACATTCCGAAATCAAGGGACAGTTTCTGTCAATTATCTGTTCATTGCCATGGGAGGCTGGGTGACCAATAATGGTAACATTTTCTGGTCGCTTTCCAGATATGGCCAAAATAAATGGCTTTTGTAAATCTGTCCAGTTAACTTCTAATAAAGCAACGTCATCTTCTTCATGTTTGCTGTAGAATGGAATGTCATATTTCAAACGATACGGATCATACTTAAAATGTTCTCTTGTGCGACCAAAATATACATAAATAGGGTTGTCCTCGATGAATTTCATGGTCTTCTCTACAAATAAATAACAATGATAAGGAAATGTAATAGTGAGCAATGTGCTTTAGCTATGTGAAAAGAAGTATACTATGAAAGAAGATTAATATTAAAGAAAATTTCGCTGTGTTCCATGGAAAATGTGTTTGGAAATTAAAACCCTCTTTACAAATAAAAATGAATAAATATATTTGGTATATTTTCATGTTAAAACAATTTATACAATTTGTAAACCACGCCCTCCGAGTAACATTACATAGCATAGTATTATAGTATGAAAACGATTTCAGTGCATTAGGTTTATTGTAATTTTTTCATTTAAATACATATTAAATACATTCAGTACTATATTAACAAAAGATGTAACATATTTTAGGGTAATATAAGGATGAGAAATTGTTATCCCTTGAAAACTTTTGTCGACTTTTGGCGACCTTGTCTTCACCTCAGCAAGCCACTGTCAGAAAAGTTGAAAATTAAGTGAAAGATTCATTGTAAAGTGTATATTCATGTGTTACAGAAGGTGGTCAAATTTTTTATTGAAATATAAGGAGATAACAAACAGTCATAAGAAAATTCAAAATCTTCAACGAAAAAAACTACTGGGTCAGAAGATAGTATACTTATGGGAAATATTCAGTACATAGTGTGCATTCCATTTGATAGATGATGGCACGAAAAAGATCCCACACTTCTCAATGGCCCTTAGTGGCAAATATAGATTAATAAATACAGTCCTCAACCGACAAATTGTGATAGTTTCATTTGAGTGAAAAATTGTTCAGGTTATTAAAACAATAAACGATCATTACCAAAATTGGTTTGTAACCAATTAAAGCCCGTGTTACAAGCTACATAGGAAATAATGTGTCTTTCTTCCCAACATAACATCTGAACAGCAATTAGGTTCTCTCCTTGAGATTATTTACAAAATGTTCGGATAGATAAAGTATGACTATATGATGTGCAGAAAAATCCTATCTTTTCTATAAGGTATTTGGATCATCCATTAATTTTGTATGCAGTAATAGAATGTGTGTCATTTATGTGAAATGTTACCTTTGGCACATGAAAATCCTGTCTCTCCCAAAACACTGAGTAGGTCGGTGAGCAGTAATTGATAACTAGTCTTTTCCAGCCATTCATGGACTCCATTTTTTAATTTCTCTTCAATATCTCTCCCGGATTCCCCTACTTGCAGTTTTTGCAATAACCTTGAATAATTAATGCTGCGATGTGGATCAGACTGGGCGTTTTCTACGATTTTATCGATGTACATTTCTAGACAAAATAGAATTATAAAACACCATTTATTAGTCTTACCAACTTTGACTACTTTTGCACTTGCTTAAAAGGTGTTTCTATCCTGAAAAATTTAATGGTTCAAAATACATACAAAAATTCCATTTATTTTCATTTAATATACAAATGTAGTTTAAATTTCCAATTATTACAAAAATTTATAGGTTGCAATGTTAAATATTTAAGATTGGAGACATAAATAAAACAGAAGTACATGTATAACATCAGCATTAAAATGTTGTACATGTTTTGTAAACAATATTATAAATGTATGTAAAAACTTGTTCAATATCATAATTCTGATGCTGAAAGTTCCGAAATAACTGCCACTTATAAGATATTTTTGAATTGTGAATATAATATCAGAGAAATTATTCAAAATTAAGAGTACAATATAAAAAATGCCTGAATGAAGAAACTTGAGAAGGAGTTATTGCCCTTGTCAACATTTTTAGACTATATGATTGATTAAATAAATAAAATATACATTTTAAAAAATCTTTTACTAAACAATATTTACCATGACACCTATTGCAAAGCATTCTTCCAAAAAATATTGTGCTATTGGGTATGAAATAAAATTAATCTAAAAACAGTTTTTGCAAAAACCTATGAAATCATAGGAGGATGGAAATATTTTCAAGAGATAAAAATAGTGCAAAAATATACAGTGTTTTTGTATGGCAATAATTCCAATCTTAATTTTATTTATTGATTCCCTGTGTTTTGATTGGACGAAAACAAATTCAAGAAAAAGTTTACACATCGTGAATTCTTCGATCATCAGAACTACTTTCTTGACTGTTGTAAAACAATGAAAACAGATACTTCTAGTCCGTTTTATAGTTAAATTATGATTACAAGAAACTTGAAATAAAAAAAGGAATGAATGATCGAATGAATGAATGAAAAAGAGATGAACAGGACTGACAGACGGTAATATCATGTTTATGTCACTGTCGGATCACGACCGCGAGTGTGAATTTTAAAAAATCGCTGATCATGCTGTCATTTTCTCGACGTTCCATATCAGCTCAGTTGGTATGGTTGTGATAGGGAAAAGAAACAGACCTCAGACTCTTGCCTTTTTAGCATCAAATTCATATGTTTACATCCTACAGATCCCATATTCTCCCTAAATCTTTGAACGAACCAGAGGAAATAGAAGACCTCGTCGGTTGTTATTTGCTTATGTCAACAAGGCCATGGTCAAACACAAATTATTCTGGAGAATACGCGTATTTACGATATTTGTTGACTTGAACAACAATCAATGAGTTTATATAAGTTTATTTATTGATTGTTTTGACAATTTAAGTAGGATTTTATCGATATTCATCTTGTATACGTTTCTTTGCGGCATAAAGTATTCATACGCCGTACAAAATAACGGATTGTATGGCGGCCTCAAAGGGAAATAATTTTAATAATTTAAAAAATTCGTAATTGGAATTATAAGAATTAAACGTTCTTTTTTTTTTTTTTTTTTTTTGAATTTATCGATGTGTAAATTCTGCCATTTTACTCACAAACTTTACATAAAAGTGCTTTGCACTTTTATTCAGTTTGTGAGTAAAAAGGCAGAGTTTACACATCGATAAATTCTGAAAAAAGAACGTTTAATCCTATAGTAATCATTTGAAAAATGGAAAGATATATAATTCATGGGAAAAAAACTAAAAAATGTTTTGATACTAACCATAAGTTTTTCTTATCACATGAAATGCTGTCATCAGATAACGACTTCCAACCCTGAATGCGGTACCAGTTGACGTCCCATCACTACACACCAAATGACCAACACTTTTATGCCATTCTCCACAGAATAAGGTTTCTGATTCTTTACTCCGCTGAGAGTTATCAATTGGCTTTTGAAACTTTCCTGAGGCTGAATCTGAAAAAAAGTGATCCACTAAATCACAAATAATACATCAACATTATGATTGCTTACCAAACAAGAGGCCCATGGTCCTTATAGGTCACCTGAGCATTATGCAACAACTTTCCAGTGATTGAATTTGATTCATGTTTTAAGCCAGATGCTATGGCATTCACAACTTTGAAAGAAGCACCATTGATCATCATAACAATACACTTAGCAGTTGCTTAGTTTGTTTACTTAATACCCATACGCAGGGTAAGGGAACACAAAATGCATTTCAACTAATCAGTAATATTCAGCAATAATCAGTAGTGCCCCTACCATACATGAACCTCTGACACCCTTAGGCCTTAATATTTGATTAATACCAAGGAGCAGATTTCAAACCATTTATTCATTTTCAGTATATAAGTACGACCCCCCCTTTATGGTACCCCTGACCCTGGGGCCTTGAAATTCACAATTGTGGAAGATATGGGCCCTTGTCCATCATAAATATATTGGTAGTTCATCTGTTTTAAAAATACCCTGGAGCAGAGAAGAAAATTTTCAAAGATTTAATGTATTTTCACTATATAATCAATAGAGCCCTGCCCTAACACCAGAACCCCCACCCTGGGGCTATAAAATTCACAAAATTATGGAAGAGGCATTCTTGCTCATCATAACTATATACTTAGTTTATTTATTTCCTAGGAGCAGAGGAGAAGATTTTCAAAGAATTCGTGTATTTTCACTATATAATCAATAGAGCCCCGCCCTTACACCAGAACCCCTAACCCTGGGGCCATAAAATTCACAATTTTGGTAGAGGCACTCTTGCTCATCATAACTATGTACTTAGTTAGTTTATTTAATACCTGGGAGCAGAGAAGAAGATTTTCAAAGAATTCATGTATTGTCACTATATATATAATCAATAGAGCCCCATCCTAACACCAGAACCCCTGACCCTGGGGCCATAAAATTCACAATTTTGGTAGAGGCACTCTTGCTCATCATAACTATGTACATAATTAGTTTATTTAATAATCAGGAGCAGAGAAGAAGATTTTCAAAGAATTCATGTATTTTCACTATATAATCAATAGAGTCCCTCCCTAACACCAGAACCCCTGACCCTAGGGCCATAAAATTCACAATTTTGGTAGAGGCACTCTTGCTCATCATAACTATGCACTTAATTAGTTTATTTAATACCCAGGAGCAGAGAAGAAGATTTTCAAAGAATTCATGTATTTTCACTATATAATCAATAGAGCCCCTCCCTAACACCAGAATCCCTGACCCTGGAGCCATAAAATTCACAGTTTTGGTAGAGGCACTCTTGCTCATCATAACTACAGTACAGCTCACGAGTTTTCCGCATAAAACACGGGGCACCGTGGACCGAGAACCCACGCTTTAGCGTGGGCCTTGAAAATAGTCGGCACCTTTGAAGTAGCGGTTTCAGCGCTCCGTGTAGCACGGTGTGTCCACGGTGCACCACGGTGTGTCCACAGAGTGTTGCGGTGTGTCTCCACCGTGTCGCACGGAGTACAAATTATAGTTTTATTTTAATATCCGATGTCAGCTAGCTTTGCGTGGCTTTTTTTTCCCCTTGACGTCATTCCATTTTCCTCGCCTTAAAGTTATAAATAAATCGCCTAGCAGTGTGAAGACTGAATAATCCTATTTTTGCAACTCATATTCAGATGCTTTTAATGCATCCAAAGTATGTTTTCGTGACAGGAAATCGCTTCAAACTTGAACGCACACAGCCAACTGGTCAGGTAACATGCCTTAGGCTATCATACTTTATGGATTATAGTGAAGTCTGAGTCTATTAAATAAATATATTACGTGAACACATCATTGTATTGCATTGATTATGCAAAAGGTGGTATATAGTAAAGTAGTAACATTGACTCCCTGACTTTCTTTAATATTAATTTAAAGAATTAAACTGTTAGGCTAGATGTGTTTTATTCAATTTCAATTTGATTTGTTCAAATAAGTTTGAAAAATTATAATAAACTCATAGCGCGCGGTGAGGCCCTGGGTGCCCTCTTTTGAGGAAAGGCGTTTGTTTAAGTTTTCATATTGTGTTAATTTTTTGATTATGTGGGGGGCGCCCGCATTTGTTTTTGTGCAATCAGACGTACCCGAATCCAAGCATTTGCAAGAAGAAACCACTGGACAATTAAAAGACAGACGGGGGATTATATATTTTCTTTATTTATTTATTGGGCAGGGGGAGGGGTGCCTGGATTGATCATTGATCCTTTGACATTCATTGATTTAGTTACTGTCCGCATTATTCTTTTGATATAATGTACATCTTTTAGCTGATTCTCGAATCTTGATTTTCTAGAACCCCACCTGAAAGTGTTATTTTAATTCAAATATATGTAAAACTATGACCTTTTATATAATCATCATTTGTCTAATGCATACTCCTGGAACAAAACTTTGATAGAAATTAATATCAATGTTCTTCCAATTAGAGTATCGGTAGACGTTCACATGAATCTTATTTCTTTTCAAATTAAAATGGGGGGGGGGGGGGGTAAGTGCAAATTAAATGTAGAACGATGAACACGTCCTTATTTATTTTACGTAAGTAGAACACACAATTAATACTGTCGTGTTAAGTTTGTGCTTATTTTTATCTGTTTAGGAAATAAATTAATAACTAAAATTTAATTAAAGTAAACATAATAAATTAACTTAATAAATCGACATTTCATAGCTTTGTATCGAAACCAGTATCATGATTTTACAGTAACACTGTGCTTCTTATTCGTCAAAAATTATTCAAGTCGTTTAGCTGGTATCCAGCCAAATTACATAATCATTCAACATACAATCGTAAACTTGGTGAAGCACCTGTGTTTAAAAGAAATTGTCTGAGGCGATCCGAGTGCGTACGGTAGCGGGTAAAGAGGACAATAGGTGTCACTGCAGCATTACACAGAAGACCATTCGCAGGATTTTACTGGAAGTTAGTTACGCAACATTACGGCGACAGGTAGACTCTTCTTCAAGACAGACTGAATTTGAGAAATTCAACACCAACACATCCGTAATATGCAATCTACAAACCTTCAACTTCTTCTTACATTAAATAAATATATTTTTTTGATATACCGACGTAAGAAAAAATTAACTATTAATGAAAAAAGAAGATTGATGTAAAAACCAACCGGGGAAAGGCACAAATTGTTTAAAGATGTAAGCAAAAATAAATATGAGAAGGGATACATTACATCCAAAGTTTTGTAAAAATTACTGATTCCTTATATTTTTGTCAAGTCGTGATAGTGTGTGTGTGGTGGGACAGTTGAGTTAGGAACTTGTTTGATTATCAAATCAAGTAAAAAATATTTCATAGTTTATTTCCTCAACTTTTTATCAATAATTAAGAATAAAAATCAAACAAAATTTATATGCAGAATATTATGACAGTAAAAAAAAAAACAGCTGGAGTTTAAATATATTTTAAACTTTGCCTTGGTCGATATTGATTTTTTGGAGAGAGAGAGAGAGAAGAGAGAAAAAGAAAGAGAGGAATGAGCGAAAGAGAGAGACGAATGGTTACTCAACACGGAAGATAATGGGCACCTACAGTTAGCGAATAATCTTACTCTTATGAAAAGGAAAGATGTTAATGAAACATAAATCAAATTTATAATGATTACGGGTATAAATTGATCAAATGGACAAAGAAATTTGCATCATTCACAAAACTGGCACATTTACTTTTTCGTGTAACGTGTGTTATCGAAAAATATTAGTATGGCCATACATTGCCTCAGAAGCAAATTGGAAGGGGGGCTAAGTGTAAAAAAAAAATATACCTTCAAAGAAACCTGACAAGCAAAAAATTACATTTCCAAACATGAAAATCCTGCTTTTATTTCTAAAGGGGGGGGGGGCTAAACCTACGAAGCAATATTCAATGTCTCTTCTGAGTATATACGGTGACCGTATATACATGTATTTGGGAAAAAAGTGGGGGACCCCCCCCCCCCCCCCCGGTTCCGACGCCTATGTCATATTTTCATAATCGACAAAAAAAAAACAACTCGCAACTAATGCATAGTCAAACACTGATTCACAACCAACGAATACTCAGTGAGATATTTTAGTAGTAATGTTTTTATATTTTCCTGCGTAAGGTGTTTATCAAATACATGTATACAGCATAGGTGTCGGGACCTGGGGCTAAGAGTGGGAAGGTCATGGCCAAGAGGAAATAACAGTATTCCTTTTGTGGTCTTAGATTTTTTGCGTTTATTCCTTGTTTATGTGGACTTTTTGTATGTAGATTATGATTATTTACTTCAATGTATTTTTCACATTACTTTTTGGGGAAAACTGCGTAAAATTTGATAATTCCATTGCGACCAAGTAGCAAAGCAGCGTGGCATGTGCATCTACACTCGTCGGACTGCTATAGCATAATACATTTATGTAATATTTGTTAAAATGGGTTGTATAGGGAGTAACGTTGATGAACGGGATATATGGGGTGGACAATGCCTTTCTACAAGAAGTGTTCAGATCCATGACCGATATATATACCTCAGTTGATTGACAGGTGGAGCACGTGGATGTAAATTAAGAAATTGGAAATTTAATTGTTTCGGGTTTTCAAGGTTAATTTTCACGATTTTGTTATCTGTTCATAAATCCAGTTTTTACCGGTGAAGTAGTGTTCTACAGAAATCATTTAATAAGTCTTGTTAAATTACACGTAAAATCGAAAGAAATATGTAAATCGAATTTTCTTGATAGTGATAAATTAATAGTGAAGAATTACAAGTACGTTTAATTACATAAAAAAAATTTACCGGCAGACCGTGTATGTTCTTATCTGTAAATAAGCATTATTTTTTCACAATTCAAAAATAATTGTTTCTACTTATCTTGAACTAAGTATCGAAAATACAATCTGTTTATAATCTAAATATTTTTTAAGTTGCTGCAGCATGTATCGTTTACTCATTATTTGTTTTTTTTTATGAATG